TCGTCGCTAGGTGGCGGACCAAATGTATCTGTGGTGCCATCAACGGTGAAACGTCGAAGCTTGTAGTTCGGTATCTCTGACGCTAGACGGAGCCACAGATACATTCTCGAATTTCAAACTGTTTCTCAACGGACTTGGGCGTTTTGCCGTAGATGGCAGTGCAAGCAACTCACAAATTACCGCGTTTTTTAAATGATAAAAACAAGCTTTAGACTAAGTTTATTAATCTCAAATTAATTTATATTATGCATATTAGTGCATTTTGCCATTGAGGGCGAAGCTTTTACAAATAAATTAAATTGATTAGTTAAAACACTGCATAAAGAGTTTTACTGGCACATCTATTTGTGTTCATTAACTCTGCGGACTAAATCCACTTACACAATTATTCTTTCCACAGATTTAAAAACTTTCACGCGTTAATGGCGTCCCAGATTCATTATTAATTGTTCCTCGTAGTTCGAAACATTAAAAGAAATATAATTTCAAATGAAATTCAAATGAGAATCGACTTGCTCCCGTTGACTACGTTATCGATGTCGTAATACAGGAAGGGTATTATAATGCGTGCACGTGTCACGTGGTACATTTTTATTTCGCCGTGCAAGGCGCACGTGCGTGGACACCCGGATGAAAAAAGCTGGAAATGCAGGTCGTCGTTATTGGTGAAACGAGGCGCATATGCGATCCTCAGGATGTGAGGGGGAGGCGGACGCTTCCGGTCGGGCAGGTAAGCGCGCCGGAAGTGACGGTTGAACCGTCACGATCGACCGCGATGGTGCGACTTTAACCAAACCGACGGGAAGATTTTCTGATTTCTGGCCTTGCTCGTTGCCCGTGAAGATCGTAGATTCGACTTTGGCGACGTACGCGGCACACAACAGGTTATTCGAACCCTCGCGTTCACGTGGGAATGACCCCGGGACTGGCGCAATACACACGTCGAGATTATCATTGTTACTCCTGCATAAAAGAATCATTATTATTCCACGATATGTTCAACATAACCTCCAAATTATTCCTGACGTAATCGTTCATTTCTGTTAGATTATTATTTCACGATATATTCAACATAACCTCCAAATTATTCGTGACGTAATCGTTCACTTTTGTTACATTATTATTGTACAATATATTTGACATAACCTCTAAATTATTCGTGACGCAATCGTTTCATTTCTGTTAGATTATTATTGTACAATATAATCAACATAACCTATAAATTGTTCGTGACGTAATCGACCACGTAATTTATGCGTGTGTGTTCACTTCTGTTACATTATAACCTACAAACTGCGAAGCCACAGCGTTCGTCACGGCCGCCATATTTGTTTTTGGTTCGTCCACGTGACAGACGCCATATTTGTTTTTCGCTAGCTCGAGTCACGTGACATTTCTATTCGATAATATTTTATAAATAATTCTGAAGGGAATGCACAATTATTCCACGCGTTGAAATTATTAAAATTAATTATAAAAATTGTTATTTAATACTTCTTAAATTTGTATAAACTGAGAGACACAATTTAATAGAAATGAACAAACAGAATAATTGTTATATTAATAATAAATATGCATTTAATTTTAATCGTGCTATAATATCAATTGTTTATTTATGTATAATATTCATAGCGTTCTCGTCGCGCAGAAGAATCGTTGGGAATCGTTCCAACATTTATTGCAGTCGGATAAAGAGAAAGTAAACAGTTTGGTCGAAACATTCCCGGAGAAAATGTTCGTGCATCGACGAAGATACGTTACGATGCCACACGTTGCTCCTCGCCGATAGCGATTCAAACGCAACTGGCTGTTATCTCCGATTTGAACTGCGTGCTCTACATGAAAGAGAGGAAAAAACAAAATTGGATATCGATATCTATTCATTCCGGCCGATGAAACTTTCATTCAGTCGCGAGGTCTCAAAAACCTTCCATTATTGCAATTATTGTTGCCCACAAAATAAGCGACACGACGCTAGTATGGTTGTCAACCGGTTATTTCCGATGGGAAACTTGGACGGTTCTCGAGAACCAAGGAGAAACTCTTGGACCCTCGACAAACTATATTCGCTAGACGCTCGATGCTCTTTGACTTTTAAAACAGTTGTCAGCGATGGAATCAAGCACCTTGCAAGCAGGTTCAAACTCTCACTCGATAGATTCAAACCTTAGTGGGGGAATTAAAAGGATAGAAATGTATAAAACACCATGATTTATCGTCAAAATTAATTTATTCTACAAAAATGTTACTAATACTGCAGTGTCGGTAATTTATCGACGTTTCTTGGCTGAATTATCGGTAAAACAGACGCGAATTGTCGGTAAATGTTTGAATTATCGGTAAAACAGGTGCGAATGGTCGGTAAATCGACCGATAAACTGACTTACCGACAATTTTCTTGCGACTGATTGGTTTTCACTGGTGCTGTAGCTGTTTTAGACAAAAAGTATGGACAATTTAGAGCAAGATTAGAATTTTTGGGGACGTTTGAAGAAACCTAGGTGATGGAGGGGGCCAGGGGGGAACGATTGGCGAGAAAGAAAGAGAAACGCGTCGCGAGGCGCTCGTGGTCGAGGAGCATCGTCGTTTTCGGACGCAGGAAGTTGGGTAAAATAATGAAAGAGGTGGACACAAAGGAATGGGAAGCCACGGTACCTACCGGCAGCGAAATAAGTCGACCACGAAATGACATCCGCTCGCCTGCTAGCCTTCCTGCGCCATGACAGCCTGTTTCCTCTTGGTTTCACCTTCCTCCACCTGTCGTTACCTTCAGACACGAAAGAATTCCTCTTCCAGTCCGGGTTAACGGAAGCCAGCGGTCAGACCATGTGATCTCCCTTTTTGCCCCTGTGGGACTTTGTTTTCGTTCATGCAAATCGCCTTCGACTCGACCAACAACAACAATGGCGTCTTCTTTTTCGAGTCAACGCAACAAAAAAAATTTTTTATTATTCTTGAAATTAAATTTTGTAAATTGAAAATAATTTTCAATATTTTTTTAAACATTGCAATTTTATTCCCGTCTTGATAATTAAGTGATAAATTGCTATGTTTTAAAAAATATCGAAAATAATTTTTAATTTATAAAATTGTTAATTTATGAATTTGGACTAAATTGCTATGTTTCAAAAAATATCGAAAATTATTTTTAATTTATAAAATTGTTAATTTATGAATTTGGACTAAATTGCTGTTTAAAAAAATATTGAAAATTATTTTTAATTTATAAAGTTGGACGTGTAAATTTGTTCTGCTTCTTGTTGTTATATACACGAATGGAACTGGTGGCCTGGAATTGGATTTGGTAACGAAAAACAAACACTTTAAAATAATGTTTTTCCTACTAATCACTCTCGAGTGACCAAAGTGGGTCAAACAAATAACCTTTGGTGAGCTTCGCCGGTACAGAAACAATCCTACTATTAACACCATTAATTTCACTTATAACATCAAACCTACTATTGTACGGCGCGAGGAACGTAGGAAATTTCGAGTAAACTCTCGAAACGCGAGAACATTCCATGACGGTGGTTCTTGAATTTGAAATAATTACGATTATTTTAATTAGTCGAATAGCGCGAATTAATGGATGCAGCTAACGGTAAGGTAGCATCGGTTTGCGTAACTTTCTAACGTTACGTAAATATCAATGTCCGCTTAATAACGCGAAAAACAGTCGATCGCGGCTAACGAAACTGTTTATTTGGTCGAAATCGCGGGAGAACCCGAACCGTAGGACGAATTACACACTCGATGGTTACTGGGATAAAAGCAACCCCCCAGGGATTGTTTCCCTCGCACGGAATTTCGCGTTCGAGTATTCCAGAACTTGAGACTTGAGGGTGCTCGCCGTATAATTACACCGTGAAATTAATAATCGATGCTCCTAAATACAACAAATGCACCTTTATTATCGTTATCCGCTCCCTCAACACCGTTCGCGCCTATATAAATACGCTCCCACCAAAATTATTCGAAATAGACTATAGAAAACTTTCTTAAAATCCTCCATTCTTTGCTCGTTCAAATCTACTCGAAATCCGGTTACTATAGCCCTCTGGTATCATCCTAAATACAACAAGTGCATCAGCCTTTGCTCCCTTAACATGATCCTATCAAAATTATTCGAAATAGATTATAGAAAACTTTCTTAAAATTCAGCATTCTTTGCTCGTTCAAATCTACTCGAAATCCGGTTACTATAGCCCTCTGGTATCATCCTAAATACAACAAGTGCATCAGCCTTTGCTCCCTTAACATGATCCTATCAAAATTATTCGAAATAGACTGTAGAAAACTTTCTTAAAATCCAGCATCCTTTGCTCGTTCAAATCTACTAGAAATCCGGTTACTATAGCCCTCTGGTATCATCCTAAATACAACAAGTGCATCAGCCTTTGCTCCCTTAACATGATCCTATCAAAATTATTCGAAATAGACTGTAGAAAACTTTCTTAAAATCCAGCATCTTTTCCTCGTTCAAATCTACTCGAAATCCGGTTACTATAGCCCTCTGGTATCATCCTAAATACAACAAGTGCATCAGCCTTTGCTCCCTTAACGCGATCCTATCAAAATTATTCGAAATAGACTATAGAAAAGTTTCTTAAAATCCAGCATCCTTTGCTCGTTCAAATCTACTCGAAATCCGGTTACTGTGGCTCCCCCTGGTTGTAAAACGACGGAACACTGCCTCTGAGAACTAATTTCGAAATACAACGCCTCGAACGGAGTCGTTTAATCGCTAATCCCGTGGAGAAAAAGATGATCGAAGTTCCCGTGGAATTGAGTTTACGCGCTCGATGGCGACCATGGCAACGTTTGTTCACGGGTACGACAGCGGCAGGATGGTGGGAGTTTTAAGAACAGCAGGACATTGAGGCGATCGGACGCGAGGGGCGAATGGTGGATTCGTAGAGGGGGTAAGGGGGCGCGTGAGGTGGTGAGGGGGGGCAGGAGGGTCGGGGGAGGAGAGGCAGGGACAGCAGACGAGGCAAGCCTCTCGAACCGTACGGTCTCGATGCCAGTCGCGTTTCTGCACTTCTCCGTCGCCGTGCTATCCCCATCGCGTACGTGTTCCGTTCCTCTCGCGCGATTCTTACGTGTTCTCGCGTGCGTCTGTTCCACTCCCGGTGTGGTACACCGATCCTTTCCGTCGAACGCGCCCACGGTGTAAATACTTTCTATTCTGACCTCGGTCGGTTGATCGAAACGTGGGCGACGGGAACAGCCAGGCAGCGGCGTAGAGTCCCGCGTAGTGTACCAGGAAAAAAGTGACACGCGTTTCAGCGCGATCCTCCGGGTGTTTTATTCCAGACGTAATGGGAATGACAGTGAACGGGACGGAACAGACGAACGTTCGTGCGTTCATGCCCGACGCTGACCACGATCGAATAGGATCGTAAACAAGTTTCTCTCGTGTGCATGTGTGTACCGGTGGACACGCGCGTGTAATGTCAGAAATTTACTCGGACCGTTTTATCGGTACGCGTGCATAATCGACTTCGTTGCGTGCGCGCGATTACGGGAGTTATTTCCCGCGTGTTTCGCGATCGAACGGGACAAGCGTCGTCACGTATGCCTCGTTCGGGTTACCGTGCGTCCAGCGACGATCCACGCGACGTCGAATTTCGGTTAGATCTCGCCGATTGACCGTTACGCAGCGTCTCGAGGATCAGTGCAGCGTTAGAGTGCAACAGGACATTCGCGTTAGGTTAGGTCGTAGTGTCAAGATCGAACTGGTTCCCCCCGTGGCGCGGTCATCGAAAGGATATACGAGTGTTTTCGTTAGAGCCTTGCAGCGGAATCGAGGATAACGCGGACGGTTATGATGGGTGTATTGAGATGGAGGCACGACCTCAGATCGGATGCCGGCCAGCAGCAACAACAACGACCTACCACCGACCGGTCCTCCACAGGACACAACAATCACGCGCACGCGCACACCCACACACTGCCGAAACTTATATCACAAGTGAGTTTTTCCCGCGCTTTTGGAAATAACTGTCACCATATACTCTCGCGGACTTTACGTATCAATATTTCGGCGCTACTTTGCTCGAGATCACATTTAAATATGAATCTCGATCGATTCGACCGGAACTAACCTACATAATCTCCCCTAGTATTTTTTCGGGATTAGGAGGGATTTCATTTGTCGACATGAAAAGAAAGTGGTTCCTACCAGTTACCTCTCGTTTTTTTCGTGGAACAACGTATCGATGATCGTCTTTATCCCAGCGAGGTTATAAATATTAAGAAATTAGAACCGTGTCAAACTTTCTTCTTTAAGAAAGCTACTTTTTCGTATTTAGTGAAAGTTTATGTCGAGACGAGTTCAACGACATGGTACAATAATGTTCAAGGTCACTCATCGGAAATGAATTATACAAATGCTGTTTTTAAAAACACTCGACACATTTGTTACAATTACTATCTAGTAAATACTTCATTCAACAAAGATAATGGCGGATCCTCGTAAAGAGGATGTACATACCCGGTGTGCAAACTTTCCCAAGGACTTGGGCTGTCTTACGTATCGATATCGGGCAATAAATCGAAACTTATCGACAAGTTATCGATACTTTATCCGGTAATCGTTGCCAGTATCTCCGCTCTGTGGCGGTTTTAAGTAATTGCACCAATCTATTATCGACGTTCATACAGGCGGTATGAGTGGATCAGCCGATCGAACCGGTTAATGGAATAATCTCTGAAGCATCGGACGTAACAGCTTCGCGTCCTGGCGCATTCCGGAACGATCTGTCCGCGATCTTAATTCCCCGTACGCTTCCGCGTATTTCGTTTTCGTGCGTGCGCAACGTTACCCGCGCGGGAGCCTCCGCGTTAGCGAACGTCGTTGACTTTTTGCAATGAAAAGCTCCGACGGAGCTTTTAGCGGCGAAGACGAAGACGAAGACGAAGACGAAGGCGAAACAAAAGAAAGGAGCCAAAGGCGGGCAGGGAGGTGGAATGGAAAGGAACAGTGCCAAGAAACGAGCGCGGTAACTGTAACCACAAAGATCGGCTTCGCGGTAATTTTCTTCTAACAACCCGTTACTCCATCGTTCTGCGCCGCGAGACGCTTTAAAAAGTTCCATTTTCCCATGACCAACCGGAGGAATCGTCCGGTTACGTGTGCACGTAAGATGCCTGTTCTCTGCCAGCCAGCGGGCGGATTCAACAGAATTTTATTCTTTTATCCGTGCAACGAGTGATCGTTAGACCGTGGTTCTAAATTCATGTCAGTGCACTGGGTCATTTTTTACCCAGCTCGGCATTTGTACTGTAGGGTGCTATCTAATAATGTTTTTAACATGTATATAACCACATTTATAACATATAAAATTTGTTATATATATTTTTATATTATAAAACAATTGAAAAATTTTATAAACACGTTGTTTATTTATGTGCACTGCGTACATTTGGCGCTGGTTTGGAGTTTGGTTGTACCGTAAATGAGAAATAAAGTTGACACAAGTGTAAGAGCTCATTTATTGAGGTTATGTAGAAGAATTCGTATCTCACTTCGCTCTGTCGTATGTTAAGTGCATTCTATAGTATTTAAACGCACAAACATCCAGAGTCTAAATGATCGTACACGGGTTTCGAATATCTCTCGTTGCCGTGGATTGTTTAAATAGTAATAGAGGGTCGAAAAGCGGATAGTCTCCCGGGTCTGTTTCGAGCCGTGTTTAATTGCAGGTGGCGCTGGGTGCACCTGAATACCTACACAACGTACATAATTGCGCTGGAGGGGGGGTCCCAGGGTTGTTCAGCAAGTTAAAAGCTTGCTCTTAACGACTCCGACAGCACGTGTTCCGGAGACAGGCATTTTAATTCTTGCCAAAGACGAACTCTCCGGCGGCTGATTGGCAAGAATTACATTAGTCGTCGAATGGAACGGCCGTTTAAAGGTCTCGAAACGACGGACTTATTAGCGGCGCGTACGCTGTCGGGTGCTTCGTCCTCGATCCCACCCGATAATCCGACCGTTCTAACCTACAAGTGCATGAATTCTACTAGTATTATCTTTTACATGCGCTTAAATCGACGCTTTATCTACTCTCGACCCGATAATTGGGAAACACCGATTAGAATGTACAGGGTGATCCTTGACTTTTCTATCGTACCGACTGCATCCATATTTATCTATTACGACGGTTTCGAACAATGCAAATTATCATACGGAGTATCTTTTTGCCTTATCATGGCGGAAAAGGCGTGGCTATTTCAGTTTATGGTTTCGAAAGATAAAAATAAACGTGAATCATTTCGCGTATAGTTAATCACGGATATCTTGGAACACCTAAAGGGCCATTTTAACGCGTTCACTGTCCGGTCTCTCAGCGTCGTATCCAATAGCGTAACGATATGACCCATATACGGATCACGGGCAGTGAATGTGTTAGAGAAAAAAATGAACGATAATAAAAGTTTGTCGAGAAGTTGCGGAGCATTAATATGAGTTTTAATGCACCAGTTAACCCCTGGAGTTGAATGTATCGCGACAAAGTGGGCACTTTTCAACGTGAATTAAACGCCTGTGCGTCGATTGAGCATGCGTTGCTCGTCTTGGTACAAGAACGAACTCGAAACCAGTTTGATTGGCGAAAACGGTCTCGTTGAACAGTCGATAATTGAATTTTAAAGTCTTGCCTCTTAATACACGTCGCTTAATGAAACCGTCTGCTTAATCGTAGTACAGGTGTTACATCGATAATCGTTTTATCGATACCTACGGATCTGATATCTTTATTTAATGTCATGGACAACAGAGTATGCAGTGATACGATACTCGAGTGTTGCAAAGAGTGCCTTGTTAAATTCAAGAGTTGTGAGAAAGTTTTTTACCGACGAGTGAACAGATAACAAAGTTTATCGTTGTTTATTTTGTTCTTAATCGTAAACTTAACGACACTATTTATGGTAAAAATTTTATTCGTTGCTTGGTTGGAGATTTTTGAATAATTCGCGGGATACATATTAATTGGATACTTATTTTTTCATAATTGAAAGGCGCGACAAAGAACTCGTCACGTCCTCGAAATAGTCGATTCCGTCGTTATGATTCATCGGTTCTGCCCACTTCGCGTTGCCCTGACACTGAGTTCTATAATAATTTACGTAATAGGTTGTCTGGAAATTAGCTAACAATGTTTCCTCTCAGCTTACGCATTGCTGATTTAAATTCTGTTGCCTTTGTTTCGCTTTCTCTGTCGAATATGTTTTCGAGATCTTCTACGTGCAGGTTATTCTTTTATAATGCGGACAGTACATTGTTATACAATACTCTGAAGCTATATTTTTATACAGAAATTGAGATTCTGGGCCAAAACTAAAACGTGATTTTTTACTGTATACTTTGCATATACTTATTGTGAATTTGTTAGCGTGGGTAAAAAATGGCACATCTTCGTCTAGGGAATTTGTGGACGTGGGCCAAAAATGGCCCGTCTTCGTCTAGGGAATTTGTGGACGTAGGTAAAAATGGCCCATCTTCGTCTAGGGAATTTGTGGACGTGGGCCAAAAATGGCCCCTCTTCGTCTAGGGAATTTGTGGGCGTGGACCAAAAATGGCCCACCTTCGTCTAGGGAATTTGTGGGCGTGATCAAAAATGGTCCACCCTTGTCTAGGGAATTTGTGGGCGTGGACCAAAAATGGCCCATCTTCGTCTAGGGAATTTGTGAACGTGGGCCAAAAATGACCCGTCTTTATCTAGGGAATTTGTGGGGGGGGGAGTAAAAATGGCCCATCTTCGTCTAGGGAATTTGTGGTCGTGTGCCATTAACGCCCCCCCCCCTCGTCTAGGGAATTTGTGAACGTGGACCAAAAATGGCCCATATTCATCTAGGGAATTTGTGGGCGTGAGCCAAAAATGGCCCATTTTCGTCTAGGGAATTTGTGACCGTGGGCCATTAATGCCCCCTCTTCGTCTAGGGAATTTGTGGACGTGGGCCAAAATGGCCCATCTTCGTCTAGGGAATTTGTGGACGTGTGCCAAAAATGCCCCAACTTCGTCTAGGGAATTTGTGGACGTCGACCAGAAATGCCCCAACTTCGTCTAGTGAATTTGTGGACGTGTGTCAAAAATGCCCCATCTTCGTGACCACCCAGCACATTAAACTCCAATGATCAGGATCGATCGAGATAGTAATTGTCGAAGTATTTTTAGAATCGTGTGCGAATGGAGAATAAAATTCCCGGAAGCATCGCGGGATAAGTGCGACTCGTGGAAAGTATTTTCCCCGGCGTAGTAAATGCGGGTTCGTGCAGTAAATCGAATGCATTTTAAAAAAGCAGCGCCCGAGTCTTTTCCACGTTTCTCTGCCGTTACTATTGTTTCCCATTACGTGCAGTCTCTTTCAGAAAAACGAAACTGTATACAGCGGCGCATTTCGAAGCATTCCATATGCAAAACGATCGCAACGAAATCTAGTGTAAAACTAAAAATATTTTCCCGTGTTTGTTTCTAACTTCTCTGAATTTCCTAATTTCGAGCGGGGGGATTGAATGTAATTTGGGTGAATTTAACACTGCTCAAATAATTCGCTTTGTTTAAACAGAAAATAACATACGCTATCTCTAATTCGCAAATTAATCTGCCGGGAGACGATAATCGACCCAATCGTTTATCTCCGTAAAATAAATTTCTTTATCTCCGACGGTGTCAGGTTTCTTTATCTTGTCAATTTCGCTACGGTCGTTTAAAAAATAATACGAGAGTAATCTGCGATATACTGTCTTTTTATTCGAGTTGAAAAAAGAGTCTCGGAACCAGTAATCGAGCGAGAATAGTGGCAGTTGTTTTTGTAAGATTTTCGTAGGTTATTTATAGGAGCAGGATAGAAGTGACGCGCAGGCGTGCAAGCCAGAGGGCGCGCATGCGCAGCGGCTCGACTTCGTTTTAAAAGGCGGCTCGCTAAAGGGGCCGCACAGCTGTTCTCTCTTTTCCTATTTTAACGTATAAG